AGCGCTCCTCTGATAGCATCGTAACACCAAACTACTTAATTATGAGCGTGTAAAATGACTGCGGGAGAGTTTTGTCACCGACATCGTGACATCAAACCTGCTGGTCTGTGCATCTCACTGAGCTCTTGCATTCACTCTCAACACACGGGTTTCAGAATAAAAAGAGTCGCTGCGCAACACTTTGAGAGGTGGAGCGCTTTTTACACGTCGCCTGCTCTGAGTGATACAAGATTTAATTAAAACGAAGCCTATGAGCAGGCATAATTATCACTTAGTTGTGATCATGTGTTTCCGCCTTGTTAGCACTTTTTTTTTTATAATTATCGCCGCACCTCTCATCACATTAATTGAAGGTGAACAATAACCTTTTAGTCCAGCCCGACAACCAATGAGAATGGAGGCGTGGGTGACATTGCCTTCACCGGTGCCAATAGCAACACCGTCGCCATGGTGATGTAGAATTGAGAGTGAGCTTCCGCCATTACGATTGGTGCAGGTCTTTGTCATTTTGCATTACCACGTGCCGCCTTGCACAGTGGGTGTTGTGAGGACACCTTGATTTACCGCACAATAATGGCAACATCGGAGTCAGAAAAGGAGCACATTTTGACTATAAAATGTGTTGTAGTGGGAGATGAACGTATTGGTAAGTCGTGCTTTATTGCACGGCTGTCAGGACACTCCTTTCGCAGCCACTACCGTCCCACTATGGTCAACTTGACGTCGGTGAGAACAACGCGAGAGGGGCGACTCATGCTCGTTGACTGTTGGGATACTCCAGGTGAGTGCTAAAAGTCCACCTATTAAACTGCTTTATTTTAATGAAAGAAGGGTGTTTTTTACCAAGGCACCGAAAAGTACATTGTACTAGAGAAAATTATACATTGTTTATGCCCTCACTGCTTCCACTTGCCATTTTGTGGAAGGGTAGAGAATCGACAGTGAAAGCCTAATTCAATGCATTTATGCAGACTCCCATAAATGGTTGCATGAGATGCATAACCCCGTTATCAAAACAAACTGACTTGGCGAACTAATAGCACAAATGGGAACGTGGGTTTGAAATTGGTAGGAAAGGAATGTGAGTTTGGCGCTGTTTTGAGGGAGGGTGGGGATGACTCGTAGAGAGCAAAGTGATATGCTCGTTCCTCCTACTTTTGCTTTCCTCTTCTGATTACCTTACCCTTAATGTGCCAAGTTGAGCCTCCCTGGGAGGACTTTCTTCAGGCGAACCCCAGAGGAAGAGTTCCGAGCCTAGAGTAGCCTCTAGTAGTGCCTTTTTCATCTCCTTAAAGCACAGATGAGACAGTGGACGACGCTGTCGCCTTCGCCGGTCAAATGTTGAGAGGGTGGGGCGCAACCAATCTTGAAGTCAAAATCCGGTGGGAAGGGTTTAAAACAAAGTTATCATGGCCAAGAGATGAGCCCACCTTGAGATTGTGGTTTCAGAATGGCAGAGACAAACCAACGGGATGAATACAACTAATAGTATAATTGCAAAGATTTTCAGAGCCTGACGTCCCACGACTAGTTAGGTGTGTTAGCGAAATGTAGAACTTGGCTTTACTTCTCCCGACGACTGTTTGTTTCCATTTTATCTTGTTTTTATTTTGATTATTCAACAAATTTCCCACGATTTAGGGTTGACATGCTTGAGTCAAGCAGTTTTTGTGGTCTTGGAACTCGTTAGTACACGAAGATTTTTTGAGGAGCGTCATCGAGGCATCCGTGGAGGTGGTGATTATGGTGGTGGTTGAGGGCTCTCAAAATTAACCTGTTTGTAAGAATTTAGCCTGTCATCTCTCACACCTTATTCCATTCCTGCAAATCTCAGCTAGTGCTTTGTAAAGGAAACATTGAGTCATCTACTTCTGCAGTCAGACAGGCAACTCATACCAGCCAACCCTGAATAAAAAGATAAAAAGATGCTCCTCCTGGCCAATGAGATCGCCTTTGTAGGTGCTCACCATCTGCACAACATTCGACTTCTGGCCTACCAGAACACTCACATCTTTGCAGTCTGCTTCTCCGTGGTTATGCCGCAGTCCTTCGAAAACGTGAGCACAAAGTGGATGAAGGAGATAAGAGAATTGGGGCCACCGAACGCCTCTGTCATTCTCATCGGTCTACAGGGTGATCTCAGAGGCGATGAGGAGGTGAACAGTGCACTCCGCGAATTGGGTCTCCAGAGCCCCACTCCCGATGCGGTAGGCTTTCAGCTAGGCTGATCCTCACATGCCTGGCATTTTGACCGGTTGACTTCAGAAACAGCCGTAATTCTGACTTTTACACTATGCAGCGGTTGACCTCGTATAGCCTCAAAGTCCATTTCTTCAAGAGTTTGCCATTATCCTTAAATTAAACTTTTTAAAAGCATTTTGCATGAATTAAAAGTCTAACAAATTGAATACGCCTCCACCAAAGGGAAAAATTTTACAAATCTCGAAGTAGAATCATGTTAAAAGAAAGGAGAAGGCAAATGCTTAAGACTGATCATAAAAAGGCCACTTGAGTGGAATAAATCATGGCTTCAAATTGCAATTTTCACTGCCATTTTTTAATCTTTTCATTCGTTTTTATTTTAAAAAGTGCGTTGCATTAGCGGAGAGCATTGGAGCTATCAGGTACTTTGAATGCTCCTCCAAAACGCAAACTGGATTTTGCGAAGTCCTCGAAGTGCTGAAGATGGCAGTTCCAGAACCTGTCCGCATTGTTCGCCACGTCTCCGTTTCCTTTCCGAGTCGTGGAACATTTACTGATGTTAATGTTATCAAAAAGACCCGAAAAAGTCTACCTCGAACCACGGAGACTTGAGGTGGCCGACTTTTATCCGCTTGTGAGACCCAATTTTATTCAAAGTCCGTCTATCTAAGCTTCCTTCCTGACTTTTTCGCTCCCTCCCTATCTGAATTATTGCAATTCTCCATCTAATTCAAGTTCACTCAACTGTCTTGCCACAACTTTTTAAAATCTCAATGTTAACTGTGCGTGTCGTTGAATGTGGGTGCATTTTTATTATTTTGCAGAAATAATTATCCACAATGGCTTGTTATTTTGGCAATAAACCTGGTACTTATTTGTTTATTTACTTTAAAATGCAATTTTGAAAGGAACGATGTCGCTCCTCGACGCGATGCGAGTTGGGCGCACACACACGCACGCGGAGGAGGGTGAAGACTGTCACCCATGGAAAGCCATTACGTTCCACAGAGCCTAGCATCACGATCATCGTCATTCATTTTGCTGATGAGACTTTTTTCTGGATTTAACTTTGAGGACAAACAGCTTGTGGTTTTTTCTTAAGAAATTTATATCATTCCTTGTCCCGTTAACCAAAATTCTGCCATTGTATGTCTGCAGTCGAGACGCCAAACAACAACACATTAATAGTTTGGATGAGGTGCTTGTGTACTCATCAACAGCTCAGCGATATCAAATTAGCAATTGAGTTGGATTTTATTCAGCGTCAAACGCAAATGATCAGTTCAGTTCCTATGCTCAGTCGTTAGATTTCGCCTTAGGTATTATAGTGGATGCACATAAAAGTAAAAATAGTCTCTTTGGACTGGGCAAATAGTTCCAAAAATAAGAATAAGGGCCAAGATATTCTAACTTGGTTTTCTTCCCTGCCGGATGAGATTTACTTTTTGGTACTCACATTTATATTAGTGTCTTCTACTTAATTTAATTTAAGTAGTAATTCCAAAAGAAGTGTATCTGAAGCAGGGGGTGCGAAGGATGCTAATGCCTTCCCTCCAAGAGCAACAGGCCTGGGTGCAAATGTGCGCGCGCTATGAGATCGGTAATCAGTGCTAAGTGCCTATTCTTGCTCTCACCAAGACACGGTGGATAAATACCGAACTTAAAAACCCGACTCTTGTTGTAAATTACTTTATTTGAGGAAACAATGTGAAGAGCTGCCATCATGATCGTAAATGAAAAAGAGCTAATTGCCTCATGTCGATCAGTAATTAAGTGTGACCATTGCTGTCATGATTCCGGAGGGATTGTTTTTCACTACACTAGTGCCGATGGGTCCACATTGTCTTGCAGTTCCTTTGTAATGGGCAGTCAAAAATGGGGAGCAGGGTTGTTTTAAGAGCAAATTATTTCTGTCGACATTGGAGTTGTTTTGATGGCCCAGTGGCCAACGCACATTTTTAGCGATGATTTGGCAGCTTAACTGATCGCAATCAGAAGTGGGAGTCACAGTTTTACAGTCATTTGTTTTGAAGATTGTCTCTGTTCCTGAATCACACCGCAAATTGGCTGATAACAGTACCTCTGACGATGCTTCAAGTCTTGAGTCACGGCTAAGCCAAGCTGACAACGTAGTCAGGACACTGGGTAACGTACCGACCATAATTGTTAATACACTTTGTACCAATGTAACAATCCAGTTGTAAATTGTTTTCCTAATGGTACTGCCAAGGGCAACGAAATTTAACCTTTGAGTTTTTAGGTAAAGAGGGAAGGACCATAAAAAAACGACCGCTACACTTAATTTGTTTAACATGCTTCATGCCGAGCCTGAAAGCCTAATTTCTCTCAATGCCTTAAGAATTCGCGCTTGATAACCGAAGGTATGAAAATTAACTGAATGCTCATTATTCGAGAGAAAGGGTGATCACTGAAGCCGCATTCGCGCATACATGCAGTCAAATAAGCACAGTAGCACATAGCTTCCTCCCTTTCGGCACTTGATCCAAGTATTTAAGCTTCGTTTGTAAGCAGGTAAGTCACTAGAAGCTAAGTTGCTGTCATCGTCACGCATTCTCGATTCTGGGACGACATTAATCCTGCTTAAAGCGATATGAAGTAAATTATAACGGTGAGAGTGAAGAGAGTGTTCTACAGCTGAGAGGATCTCTGATTTCTTCAATGCAAAAGGATTGCAAATGGCAATAATCTTCACCATCCGCCCCATTCACTCGATCCAATGCAAAGCTTTTATTGAAGGAAAAGATATTTTCTTTGAACAAATAGGAAAATTTGCATTTCGAAGTTTCCTGGATGTCGATGATGTTACATTTCGCATGTCTATAACTCTATGGGGCTACGATTTATCTCCTAGTGTCCGATAAATAAGCTGCCCTAAGAACTTGTACCAGCATCTAGCTATGAACACTCGCAGTGGTTAACAAAATCCTTAATCTCTGCAATATATTTTAAGGCTGATCTGAGCCTCAGATCCGAAGATCTGGAGGATGGTGACTGGCGCTGCTGGTTCATGAGTTTTTCTTTCAGTTCGGATTATATTTTGTGTGCCATAAAGAGAGCTTAAGAAGGAAAGCGCTAAGAAAGAGAGGGTTGCTGTACTAGTAGGAGTAATAGTAGAAGGCATTGAGCATTGCTGAAGATACACGTTCAAACAGGAAGGGGTAAAAAAGACAATGGACTGGACTGAAAACCAAAATACGTAGTCTAAACGAGATGGCCAACATGGCGATGGCAACCATTCACACAGATGGCCGAATATACAAGCAAGAAAGGCAGACACCAATCCCATCCTACTAACGGTCTGTTTAACATTCGTGATTAGGTCGAATAATTTTTTACTCAAAATTAAACTCACAACAGCATGACAATAATGTTACAAAATATAGTGCCACTCATTTTGCAAATTACATTTATTCATTGCAAGTGCAATTGTTTTATAAGACCATTGCATAAACCTGTATTTTTCTGAGCCCCATTGAAAATACCCCTTTGATTCCTCCAATTAAAGTGCGACTCATGGGTTACTGTAAGTGATGGTATTTTCTTCATTGTGGCTGGAGATGACATCTTCTTGCCACTTTACCTTACAATAATGTAGTTCTGCGCCTTCATTTGATCGGATTTTCATGGTAAGAAATAAGAACTTACTGAAGGGCGGTTTCCCTTTCTGACACTGCTCGCAGTGTATGGAGCTGCTGAAATCTTTCCAGCTTTGCAGGCGTTGATAAAGATTCCTTGTTGGCAACGGCCGTGTATAAGGTTATCCAGCGCTATGTTATCTGCTATCCAAAGCTGTGAAATAAATTATGGTGGTGTGATTGATTTTTTCTCTACCATTAGCAGTTGTTGTGAGAGTTTAGCCCCAGACCAAATCCCAATCACTCTTGCACAATGAATTATAGGCTTTTCCAGACACCAATCTCTCTATCTCACTCAAAGGATTTGGGGTGTTCATTTGAATGACTTCTGTGTTTTGCCTCAGGTTTCTACAAATAACTATAGCTATCCCTTTGGGCTGCCAGAAACTCCGAATTCTTTTTTTACAAATTGCTTCTTTGAGTTTGTTTACAAGTCAGAATTGAATCTTGCTCGCATTCTTTAACCCAAACTTTCGTTGCATTCATGACATTTTCTGCATTAAATTTTAAGCCAAAATACGCTTTGCCGTCATGGGGTTGCAGCCTTTAGAATGTTGCGGTATTCTTAGAAATTCACTTTATTATTCGGTTTGAGGGAGAATCGATGTCCATTCACCCCCACTGTCAGGTTTCGAACTCGAGGGAGTGGGCTTTATCGTACCAACTGAACGGAGCGGTCTGGCGCCTCCGAATCCTTCACTGGTGAAGATACTATTTTACACTCGGTCTAGTCGTATTTTGCTGTATCTGAAACTGCAATAGGCTTCAATCTCAGTAAGAGGGAAGTTTTCTCGGAATGCGGTACCACTCGTTAATCAAATGGCTCATTACAACTATCCTTACCCTTATCTGCCAGGATTTAAAAGAATTCCAATTCTTGAGGTTTAAATTTACCACGGATTAGATCGGGGAAATCGTAGAGTTTGTACTTTGAGTTCTATATCATTGCACCTAGCAGCACTTCTTTGGTTAGTGTTTGGATCTTGGACAACCGAACGGCGGAAGTAATCTGATATAGGTCCGACTCTGGGTCGGATGTCGACTCCGTCTACACCAACAGGGTAGTCTGTAGGAGCATTGAGAGACTGAGCAACTGCAGAAATTCTTTTGCGGAGCTTAATCCAATCTCTCATTGCGCTCTGATGTGGTATTCCTTTTATGGGACTTTCCAAGCTATGGTTAGTTTAATAGTGCCTGACCGTTTACACGTTGAGACGTGTGTGGACTTGAATCTGGCCATTGAGTAAATCCCATCAAGGTAATTGAACAAAGCTGTGTCAATGTTTTTTGCTGAGAGAGCATTGGGAATCGTTCAGCATTAAACGGCCTTGGTAATCTTCCTATCGACGACTAAAGTCAAAGGGCTCACACTGTGGCTACAATCATTTTGTACTCTTAAATGAACCAAAAAGTGGTGGCGTCTGCGAGGATAGGTGGATTTACATGTGCTCTTCTTACAACTTACGAGGCCTTTGCGATGGGAATTCAAAACTCGTCTGGGAATGGTAAAGTGGCCTTTTTTTAGCTTCGATCGTTATTTTACGATCATTTGTTCCTGAGGAAGTATCTGAGGAAGTAATTTCTTAATGCAATGAACCAGAACAGTAACCAGCTCGCGCACATCACTTCCGTTGAAGATGGGATCTGATGGTAAAGCAGCTGAGCTGGAGGGTATCATTTATTACACGGGTCCTAGCCAGCCGGTATCAACAGCCTGTGGATCTTAACAACCAACAGCTATGATGCAAACAATAGAAGCAAAAGCAAAATGGAGTCGGGAATATAGCAGCATCAAACAGTTAAGGCTTGCTGGAGTCATTTACGATGGTGTCAATGTCGATTGACGGTTCTTTCTCTCAAGAGGACTTCTGTACGATTCTTCGCCTTCATCTTCATTTTGGAAGAACGGGAGGTTGTGAAAATCCATGTTGCTTGGTCTGAATGCGGGCTTTGGGG